TAATTATAATGAGTCTGTAAGTTCTAGCCAGCCTTGATGCTTACGCATCTTTAAAATCAAACTTCTACTTCTGCCAGTGTATTAACTTGCCTATATATTCACATAATTAGCACCTCATCATTTTATGCTGTTCGGGGACTTCCTCTCATCTTCCAATCTCACATCCAACATTGAGAAAAGCAGTCACTATCGCCTCATAAAATTCTGCTGCCCTTCAACTTCTGCTATTTTTCTTGTATGAAAATCAGATGTTAAAAAGATGAGGAGAAATACGGGACAGATCACGAGAGTTTGAGATATTATGTAAAATATGGGGAAACGCAGAAAACTAAAACACGTTAGTCAGTCGGCCCAGATCCATCCCCTTGCGCCCTCCTGGCACCTAGGGTTTTCAATCGGGCGTCTTCGTCTGCGGGGGCTGGGAGTTCAGCATCTCACTACACTCCATCACTTGGGATGCTCTGCCGCGAGAAGAGATAATTCCTGCATGGCTGCGATCTATGTTAACATTTAATTTAAAAACTAGATGTCATTTTTTTTTTTTTTTTTGATAACGGCTTCTTTGATCAACCTAACAGTCTGGATGACCTGGCCGCCATTGTTATTGTTGTGAAGTGAATGTTTTACTCAGCAGATAAAGAAACTACTTTTTGAGAAGTCCCTCCGTGGTCAACTAGTTTTTAGGCTTTTGCTCCAGTTGCACATGACGGAGCATCTTTAGAGATATCTGGGTTTCCCTTTTATCTCTTTTGTTTTGGAAGGGGGATTGGGTTAAAAGGTGAATCCCACAGGGCAGCCTCCTGCTGTTCGGTCTTGGCCAAAGTTTCTGCCGGTCAAGTTTGAGGCTTGAGACAGAGAAGCCCGCGGACGCTGTGGATTGACCGGTTCCTCACAGTAGCCGCCTGGCAGGTCAGCCAGCGTGACATTCGTTGCTGGACTCTTACGAGGGGTTGGGGAGGGGTCGCTCCTGAGCCCAAATCGCCGCGGCCTCGGGTAGAGCGGCAGCTTCTGGAGAGGAACTCGGTGGCTGGAACTGCGGAGCGGTGGGCGTCGGGCACCGAGCTGCACGCCCCAGGCATCGGGTAAGACACGATCCCCGGCGATCTGGAGGTGGGAAGGGGTCAGGAGGACAGCCTCTGGAGCGCGCGGTCCCCGGGAGCCGGGGTTGCGTCCTGTGTGGGGATGCAGAGCTGAGGCTGTGCGCCCGGGGCACGTATCTCCATATCGGGTCCGCGCGCCGACCCGCTACTTTTCAAGTGCTATGCAAAGGCTGAGAAACTCACAGGCTCTTTCCGGAGCCAGGACGGCAGGGCTGGAAGCAGCCCGCGGGCCTTGGGACGCACCTGTTGCCAGGGGACCAACCCCCTCCGCCGCCGCCTCCCACCCCGGCCGCCAGGGCGCGGCGTGTGGCCCGAGAGAGCGCGGCCACGTCGCCCTCTCCGCTCCGGGCCCGCCTGAGCCCTCTGAAGGAGCCCTCGGCCAGGGCCAAGGGCACGGCGCGTCTCTGGCTGAGGCCCCTCTGGGCTGCCGCAGGCTCGGCCCAACGCTGGCTCCCTTCCACTCCCCTCCTCGCACCCGCCGGCGGTGGTGGATGGAGAGACGGCCCATGGAAGGAAATCCGTCTGCTTGCCCTCGTGGGCTCGGAGCCTGCTCCGTTTCGGGCTCGGGGGCTTATCCCGAGGGGCCGAGCCCAAGGGTGGAGGAGTCGAGTGGGAGTGAACTCTCAGGGTCCACAATGACTCCGCGAGGCAAGCGTGTGGGAGCAGCGCCAGCGCTGCCTGGTGGACATCTCTGCCTTTTGGGCCCTGGCGAGTATCAACCCATTTTTTGGCGAGCAAAGTTGTGGCTCCTTCACTCACTCTTTCTCTTTTCCGAAGGAAACAAGCCTCCTAGGAGAGTCTGGGACTCCTGGAAGGCCTCGCTAAAAGTGCTTGCCTTGCTGGGGCCCTGGACCTTGCACCATTCCACACTCACGCAAAGCGGTCCTTGGGGAAAGCAGAGGGCGATCAGGGAGAGAGGACGCATCCCTAACTGCGACCAAGGGCCCCCGGCCAAGACATGGCAGATCTGCCACTCCAAGCACCGCCGCGTTACTGCAGCCACAAGCCCCTTCGGGGTGGAGAGGGTCTGGTCGGTGCAAGCGAGGCCCTGTCGCCCCTTCCCCGCCCAGCGCAGCCCCCCTCGGAGCTGGCCGCGGTCGCCTATGTGCCTGTCTCCGTGGAAAGGCGGTGCGGAGGCAGAGAAGCTTCTGGATCCGACTCCCAGAACCCCGGCCCCAGTCCCTTCAGCCCAAGTGAGTTATTCAGTTTGTATTGGGAGGACTTCCACTTTTCCCCACCCCTTTTCCCCCTGCAATTTTACCTTCTCTATTGATTGGCGGGGCGGGGGGAGGGGAGATTTAACCCTTTATTTCATATTGTCCCCTGAGAAAATAGGGATTTTTTTTTAAAGGTAAGATACCTTTCAGCGGCAAGATTTTTTCTACTCCTTCATTCGCAACCCTTCTGCTCAAACTAGACTTTGCTACTTCCCGAAATCAAAACTGAGCAGCAGCATTCTCATTTGGGGCATGGGAAGGACAGACGTCGATGCCCAAGGGTCAGGAAGGTGGATCTGGAGGACGACGGGAGCCAGGCCTGTGCATTGGCCCAAAGGCGGGGAAGTCGCTTTGGCTCCTGTCGAGCACTCTCTGCCCCACACCTTGATCAGCAGGAAAGCCGCCGAAGCCTGTGGTCTGGACCACGCCTCTTCTCCAGCTTCCTTCCATCGCCTGGGGCGGTGTCCGAATGTATGCAGATGTTCTGGAAGCCTTTTGCTCAAAAGCAGCTCGGGGGATGTCATTATCTGAGTTCAAATGGGCGAGTCCAGTGAATTACGAACAATTCCTTTTGCTTGGATATTAGGAGTGCGTTTGGACATCAATCTTTTCACATCCAATCGAATCTCTTGGATTCTCCGTTTTAAGAAACTTTCCTTCTATGGAGGTGTAGGCGACAGGAGGATAAAAGGCTTGTGTCCAATCTTCAGGGGCACTAAGGTCCTGGCCTTGACAAGCGGTGTTGGCCATTTCCTTTATTTTTTTCTTTACAGAGAAGCAAAAGTCGGTGTAGAAAAAGCATCCGTTCCAACACTGCGTCTCCCCACCCGACTTGTACTGCCAGTGCTGCTTTCGCGGCGTGACCGTCTAGGAGACACAGCCTCGCGGAGCGCGCAAACTCCGGCCCTGGGCGTGCGTCCCTCTTCTGTTGACCGCTCGATTTGTGTCAATGGAAAGTGAGGCCTCTTTTACCTAACGAGTCCTGGAGGCTTGCAGTGACTCTGCCGCGCTGTGTGAGGCCCCAACTGCTCGAGGTTCCGGGATTGTTTCGGGTTCGCACTTTCCACCCAGACACTCAGCCATAACCTAGCACTTGTCTCTGGTTCCTCTGAGCCCGGAGCTTGGCGGTGCCCACGTTTTTCTAGAGGCCGCCGCCGGGGCAGTTTCCCTTCCGGGAATTTCTGCCTTGTCGCCCCTCACGCTGCTTAGCTAGTTCCGACTGACAAAAGCACAGCAAGACGGAAGAAAGATCGGCACCGAGCTCCGCACGCGAACCGAAGGCTACAAACTCCAGGCCTCCTCTTTATCCCCAGAATGGACTGTGCGTGGGAGCGCAGGGCCCACGCGCGCACGCATAAGGGGCTCTTCAGATCCTTATGGTGCCGAATCACACACACACACACACACACACACACACACACATACACACACACACACACACACACACACACACGTGGTGTATTTTTTGACGCTGAGCTCCCGCTCTCCCCGGACCGCTGATGTGGGGCGGCCCCAGCCGGATGAAGCCACCCGCCCCGGCCGCGTGGCGCTGAGCTGCAGATGCTCTCTCCGCGCGCACGCACAGCAGTCAGAGGCCCTCCAGCCGAGCCGCAGGCAGGGGCCGCCCCTCCATCTTCAGCTAGCGCCGGGGTCCAGGGGCTGCGGGGTAGGCAGGGCAGGAGCAATCTCCCCTGGAGTTCTTGGGAACCTTTCCAATCCTTAACTCCCTCCCGCCTCCTCGGCTGCTTTTCCTCTCCTCCATTTCTCAAGTGGCTCTTATTGTAAACGCCACGGTTGGTTTGTTTCTTCAGTTCCAGGTCTAAGAAGTTACAGAATCTGACAAAATTGAAATTCTTTCAGTAATCTATTTTTCAAAACGAAAGAGAAGATATAAAAAGCAAGAAACCCATCTCCACAACAGTGTCAGGGGGCGTACCCGTCACCAGATATGGACATCCCATTCAAACCACACCGGAGGGCCCAATAAACAAAATGAACACAATGTCAATGTTTAGGGAGAGAAGCCTAATGAAATAAACTTCAGGCAGTGAGTGCACATCGACAGGCATTCTCTTGCCCCTCCCGCCCCGACCTCCAGCACATTGAACCTGCCCTTCATCTGCATCTCTGTCCTTGAAACCATTCCACTGAGACTTCTTTTGCCTACATTTTCCAAAAACTTGGGAGTAGCTGTGAAAGGGAGGAGAGAATGTTTCAATTCCTCTTTCCATCCCCAGAGAATCTCCTCCTGGCCCCCTCTCCTTCCCTTCCTTCGGTTCCTTTAGGTGTGACTTGGTTAGGGAAATCAGGAAGGGGAGTGGAGGGAAGGAAAGTTTTTTTAAAAAAATCCAGAAGGCGCGAGCTGGAGCGGTGAGTGTGTCAATCAGAGGGTTTTGTGCCTGGGGGCTCCTAGCGCTTCTGAGCAGAGGTGTCCCTGGGCGGCCCCACAATGAATATGAATAGGAATCCTTGCTAAATGGGACAGCAAAGCGCACCGCCCTGAATGACTGCACGTCATCCTAACCAGCCCAGGATAGATAGGAGGGCTCCTTTTGTCTCTTTTCTCCGCCGCAGCTCTATAAAAGCCCCTCTTTTTCAGCGTGAGTTGAGTTCAAGCACACACCAACTACTGTCCAGGAAACAGCCAAACCAGAGAGAGGGGAGTGGGGAGGGAGAAAGGCGGGGAAAGGCAGTGCCTCAGCTTTTCTTCTTATTTCTTGCTGCTGAGACGTGGGTTACTGGGCTGCAGCTTTTTTTTTTTTTTAATTCAAGGTTTTCTTTCATTTCCTTCCTAAAGTCTCACCACAGTAGGGCCGCATCCCCTGTAATAAAATGAATTCTGATTCGAGCTCTGTCTCCAGCAGAGCTTCATCTCCGGACATGGATGAGATGTATCTGAGGGACCACCACCACCGCCATCACCACCACCAGGAGAGCCGTCTCAACTCGGTCTCGTCCACGCAGGGCGACATGGTGCAGAAGATGCCCGGGGAAAGCCTTTCGCGGGCCGGCGCCAAAGCCGCGGGCGAGAGCAGCAAGTACAAAATCAAGAAGCAGTTGTCGGAGCAGGACCTACAGCAGTTGCGGCTGAAGATCAACGGACGCGAGCGCAAGCGGATGCACGACCTGAACCTCGCCATGGACGGGCTACGCGAAGTCATGCCCTACGCTCACGGGCCCTCGGTGCGCAAGCTCTCCAAGATCGCCACTCTCCTGCTGGCCAGAAACTACATCCTCATGCTCACCAGCTCCCTGGAGGAGATGAAGAGGTTGGTTGGTGAGATCTACGGGGGCCACCACTCGGCCTTCCACTGCGGGACTGTGGGCCACTCGGCCGGCCACCCAGCGCACGCCGCCAACGCCGTGCACCCGGTGCACCCCATCTTGGGAGGCGCACTCTCGTCCGGCACCGCCTCGTCCCCGCTGTCCGCCGCCTCGCTGCCCGCCATCGGCACCATCCGGCCTCCCCACTCGCTGCTCAAGGCGCCCTCCACCCCGCCCGCGCTGCAGCTGGGCAGCGGCTTCCAGCACTGGGCCGGGCTGCCCTGCCCCTGCGCCATCTGCCAGATGCCGCCGCCGCACCTGTCCGCTCTCTCCACCGCCAACATGGCCCGGCTGTCGGCCGAGTCCAAGGACTTGCTCAAGTGAGCAGCGGGCCGGCCCGGCTGCGGAGGATGAGCGGAGAGCGGCGGGAGGGCTCGAGGTGCCGGGCCGGGAGGGCAAAGGGAGGCTGGGCGCTCGGCCGGAGGGCGGGAGGGAGGGCGGGGGGCTCCCGAGGCCTCCCACACCGTCTGAGAGATCTCAGACCCTACTTGACCGCCGGAGGGAAAGGACTAAAACCAAACTGCAATTTCTAGGTGGTAGCGAAGGGGGGCTCGAACCAGACGTCGTGTGTCTTGCATGCATGCTTCTTTTCTCCATGCCGCGCCGGTATTTCTCACTGCCATACGCTCTTGTCAAAACGGCATTTGTTGTATAAAGACGGGATCGGTGTAGCTGAACGCCGCGAAGGGCCTTTAGAGTCGCTGTCCATGTCTCTGGCTCTGTGTTCTCACCTTGGAAAAGGCAACCATCCCTTTTGAATTTCAACTCCGGTCCAGGGCATGGCAGCTCTTCTGTGGGTTTTCTTTAAGACGCAGTGTAGGTCGAAAGAATGCATGCACGCTTCTAAATGAATCTCGTCTAAACATGTTGTGCAGGCCGTGATGCCATTTTCCTTGTAACAAGGATTTATGAGGGAATTCTCCGAAGTACTCCGTATATCTGTCTGTGGTTGTAAGAAGTGAAAAAGGGGGCAGAGTGCAAAGACCCAAACTCACGCACAGGCGCTTCTCCCCCACCCCACCCCCTTCAAACTCCATTCCCAACCTTCCTGGGCTGTTTTAGGGGCTGGCGACTGCAAGAGCTCGGGCTCCCCCTGCGACCTTGCCCCAGCCCCCCTTGCTCAGTTATTCTGCATGCGGGGTCGGCTCTCTCCATCATCAGCTTTGAAAAGTTACTGTGGTTTGGGGAGGGGTGCCGTTTTTATTTTCCTGAACATTTGCTTGAACTATTTTGTTAGGGCTTCGAAGACAAGACCTGTCTTTATTTTTTATATATTCTTGATAACTATGATATATTTATTAATAACCAGTGTTTCTGGATGAGAATTTCAAATAAAAAAGAACCTTTAAATCCTGGCTTTGCTTTTGCCTAAAATTTTTGAAGATGGGGGTAGTGGGTAAGGAACATGTGGACCCAGTAAGGTATATCTGGGAGTGGGGGGGAGATTTGGGTGGGTGGGCAGATTCGAAGAGTTTTCTCTGATCATTTGCAGGTAATGAGGTCAGACACGTTGGTGTTAATTATTACAACGAAATATCCTTCAAATGGGGGCTTGTCCATGTCACTAGTCTTGTGATATTTGAGCTCCTGTTTCTCTGCAGTAATCAGAACCTCGTAAGCTCAACAGTTGAGATTTTTTAAAAAAGTGATCTAGAAACCCAAAGTGACAGGAAATGAGAGGAGAGTGGTGACTGCGCTGGCTGTGTTGGCAACAGATGAGAACAAAACAGTAAGTTAACTTCTTTTCACTTTAGATTGACCGTCTGGCTTTTAAAAAAAATCAAGCAAGTGAAAATCCAGTATATGTTTTAAAAATCAAGGAAGAGTGATCCTAAAAAGAATCAAATGCCCAGCCCCCCACCATCCCCTTGGCAGCAGGCTCCTCAGAGATAGGGAAGGCCTCTCTGCTTTGTAAGGTGAGCTCGGAGTGATGCCAACGACCGCCCAGGTCTCAGCATCTCCAGATTTATAGTGGGAATTCTCTCTTTCCTCCCTTAGAAGATCCCATTAGTTGAATGCAAGCTATCTGGAACTGTTATTGAGGGGAGGGATGAAGAGAGAAAAGTCTTCTACATAAATAATGGCTAAAACGGGGGTTATTTCAAACGATTACTTTTCTCTCTTCCCACCGTATAACATATAGTTCGTATAAGCAAAAGTAATCCAACAAGAAGGTTTTGTTTACTTGTTTATAGAGGACAAGAAATCAAGCTCTGGTGATGATAACTCGACCAACACATGCCTCTATTTCCCATTAAGGATAATGGAAACCTGATTGAAATGTACCACCCCAGAATCTGCCTCTAGCTTAGATGTAACATCACCTCCCTGCTGGCTGAGGCCTAAGCTCTTCAAGAGGGGGAGGCCAGGCAATAGATCTGTCTCTCTCTAGGATCCAGGGTAGACAGCACATCTAGGAAGCATCTACCGCTTCCTAGGTCCCCCACTGCACCTCTCTGGGAGGGCACCTCTGTGGGTTCTGGGTCTGTTTAACTCATTCTCCTCCATCTCTTTTTGCCCCCAGCTCCCGCACTGCCAGGGAGATAGAGCTAAGTGAGGGTCTACAGTGGAGGGTGCTTGTTTCCTCTGGTTTTAGGCAGATAAATGGGGGAATAATCGTCTATTTCCCAAGGGTGATTCATTTCTCTGGGTGAGGAAAGAGCTGTTGAGGATTTATTTGAAACCAACACAAGGCAGCCCTCCAGCCTTTCCCTGTGAGTTTATTATTTAGGAAAGAGAGGAGAGGGAGAAGTTTAATCAATCACGAAAAGGACTTTCCCCTGAGTCACTGGCTTCTTTTGAGTCCTGTTTTCAAAGGCCTGGTCCTGGGGAAAGACAAGAGGCCTGGCCACTGGCTTAGTGGTGGGCTTCATCCCTTCTCTAGGGCTGTGGCTTAAATTGGGCACTGAAGAGAAATAAGGCCATGCTCCTTGTACCCGAGGAGTGGTGGCTGTGCTGCTGGGGCATGCAGGAATCCCTTGAGTTACCTCCAGTGGTCAGTAAAAAGAGCTGTGTGAGATGTAGAGAACAAACGTATGGACACCAAGGGGGGGAAAGTGGCGGGGGGGGGGATGAATTGGGAGATTGGGATTGACATATATACACTAATATGTATAAAATGGATAACTAATAAGAACCTGCTGTGTAAAAAAAATAAAATAAAATTCCAAATAAATAAATAAAGAGCTGTGTGGTTCACGCTCTTGGAGAACTGTGCTAAAAACAGCCTCGGGCCCAGGTAATTCTATAATGAATTCTCCAACCCAAGTGGAAAACAGACACTGTTTCCAGCATTGACGAGGCCCCCTAGACTAACTGGTCTCTTTTCTGGGTCACAAAAATTCCTTTGACCTAGAGACCAGAGAAAGGATTCCTTTAAGAACAGTACAGGAGCCCAAGGAGAAGGGCGATTCGGGAGTCAGGTGGTCTGGAGTTCTAGATTTATTGGGGAAGGAACAATCCCCACTTGCTTCCACTGGGAAGGGCCTTGCCCAGGAGCAGGCTGGTCTGCTTGGAGATGCGGCTTTGCAGGCGACTCTTACAGGCATTTTCTGTTAAATTCTCGATTTCCTGATGCCAGAAACAAACGTACATGGCCGCGAAAGTGAGAGTGGATTCTTGGCCGGATTTTCTTTTCCCTGCCAATTTTTCACCTTCTCGAAAGTTCTTCAGTTTAAAGCAGTTTTTAATTCAATCTAGAAACACGACAACGATCCCCTCATTCCACAGTAAACGTTGCTTTACATTTAAAAAGACGGCGAAAGCCTCGTGGGCAAAGGTATCTTGAGAAACCTAGACTAGAAACCTCACGAAGCCCTTTAAGCCAGTGACCCATCTTTAAGGTGGGGAGAAAGTCACGCTTAGAGAAGGAAAGCCGGCAGTAGTTGTCAGGGTCTGCTAAACCTTTGTCCCTAAAGACCCTCTCCCCCCTCCCCGGGGTTCCAGGGCCTTGGGTTTATATCCCCAAAAAAGGGCGGGGAGAGGCGACTGGAGTTGGTCCACGAAGTCCAAGGTTCCCTAACTCCTACAGGAGGAGGCCTTGTGTCCTCTCAAACTTTTTCAAGCTGCTGGGTCAAGCATCGCCTCCACTGGTACCCTCAGCAGAAACTGCAACAGCCCCTTCCCTCAGGGAGGACAATGGATTCTCTGAGCATCTCGCTCAGCTAACAAGATTTAACTGCTCTTTTCTTATCCCTTCTAGAGACTTCGAGCCCCTCTCTTCCCGTGCCGCCGCCCGCGTTGAAGGTGGGCTCCCAAGCCTGGGCGCCCAGACGACTAAGCTCTCGGCCCTCCCCGCCGATGCTCCCCCCGCGGCTCTGCCGCCCATGGGGGCCTGGCCAGACCTCGGGGGCCGGGGCTCCGCGGAGCCTCCGCGATCCAGGAACCTCGTCCCCCGGGACTGGCCGGTCCAGGTTCCTCAGGCTCAGGAAGCGAAGCAAGAAGAGGAGCCGCCCGAGAAGGGCGAGGGCAGTGTCTTTGGAAGAAATAGGCCAGGGGAGGGCCGTGGTGAGCTGGATGAACCTGCATCTTCCGCCCGCCTCTAGGCAAACTTGCGGGAGAACGAGGGGCCCCTGCCTCCCTCCCCCTTCAAAGTCTCTGAGCCTCGCACGTACCCGTTTCCGTCCTAAGCAGCCGGGAGGAGGCAAACCCTAGAAGGTTCGGGTCTGCAGTATTGTTTTAGTTGCGTCTGTTTTCAGTGAAACCTTCCCCTGGGACCCCGGTCAGGGGGCTGCGAGGGGGCCGGAGAAGGTGGGGTGAGGGAACCAAGAGGGGAAGATCAGGAGAGCCGCTGGGCTAGGGATCGCCGGGGTCCTGGGAGCCCCGGGACCGGATCTCTCCCGACTCCCCCCACCCGTTTCGGCCCCCGCCCGCTGGGTGCGCAGCCCCTCTCTCCGTCCTCTGCACCCAGCGGCGGGGAGCAGGGAGCCAGGCGGGTCTGGGTCCCGTGTCGCAGAAACTGGCTCTGCACCTCGCCTCTGGCTCTGGAGTCTAACTCGGAGCAAGTCGGAGCGGAGACTGCACCTCCGCGCGGAGCCAGGGGCCCTGGGGTCGGGGCTGCGTCCCATGGGAAACATCGGTCTCCGCGACTCGACCCCCGACTCCTCTCCGTCCCCTCCGCAGGCCCAGCGAAGCCGGGGCGCAGACGACAAAAGACGCGCGGGAGAGGGACATCGCGGAGCAAGGCCCAACCCAGACTGCGCCGACACTTGCAAAGAGCCTCGAAATACCTCAGCGTTTAAGGAAAGTGGGTGGAAGAAAAAACAAGAGTAACAAATCCAAACTTGGGCCGAGTGTGCGGGCGCGCTCTTTCATCTCTGTTCCCC